CAAGCTCGCCCTCAGATAAGAGAACAAAACCATCTTTGTTCTACTTTTGGATTCCTGGGCAGTAAGTCCCGTGGAGAAGATTACCACATTTCACATGCAGAAAGGGTTACTAGTAAATATGGTGTAGGTATGGACAAGCAGACAATAGCCAGGGACAGTTGGTGGGTATTTATTTTGAAAGGAGGTAGGGATGAGAGGAAGCCTGAGTAAGGAGAATGGGACACTTGAGAGCTAGGTTTGGTCTCATACTGTGTTCCTGGATCAAGGTGAAGATTTGACTGTATACACTGGGAGCTCCAGAAGCACCACAATGTCACTTCTCCACTGGAATCAGGAGGGAGGGATTCAGGAGGGAGGGAATCAAGTTAATAAGGTGGAACAAGTCTATGCTAGGAATGGAACTCTCTGCTAAGAAATTAAGCTTTGGTTCTATTGTTTGTCCATTTTTTAAAATGTCTTTACCACTCTGAAGCTCTGCAGGAAAGGCTGTTTTAATGCTGCAAATCTGCAGCACTACTTCCACAATAGGGGCTATAAAGTACTGAGACTGATGCATAGCGTAGTGATTTCAGCTCATACTTTATTCATGCATAGAAGAACTTGAGATGCAGTCGCCGGGCCAGAGGCTGCCTTATATCCCCGTAGCAAACCACATCCAAACACACACCCACACCCATGATAGGAGAATTTACAGTGCACCCAAGTCCCATAGGTCCATTCTTGGATCCTAGCCATCTGATAGGTGCGTACTAGGATCTGTTCAGGCTATTGTCTCTGAAAGCAAAGCTTGGGCCCTTCTCATGGCCACGTGCGGACCCGACCATGTGCGTGGTTTCTCTGGATACACAACAGGGGCTTTCCTGGGGCATTTCCTTTGCTTATCATCATCACACATGTTCTGGAAAGACTGCATATAAATTAATCCCCCCTCCCCAGAAGAGATTTACTTCATTACATCAGTCTGTGCAGTGTTCTTCACAGTAAAAGGTGGAATTCTTTTTTAGAGAAATCTGTGCAGGGAGAACTAATGTTAGAACACAATATAAGTAGCATACTCAAATGATTGCCTTTGACTTAAAAAAACATAAAAGAAATTGAAAGAATAACAATTAACAAGAAACTGTTCCTCAGTAACGTGGGATTGGAGAGTGGGACATGCAAATGCGGAGGGGAGGAGAGGATGGACTTTGGGCTGAAAAAATATCAGATGAGAAAGATTTCCCCACTAGGTTGATGCAGATTCAATGCTGAGATTACAAAAACTTCCTGGAAACAGGGCATTTGGGTGCTGCATGGCAAGAGGGGGGAATGTGTGTTTTTAATGCCTGGGAGGGCAAAATCATCTATGGAAACTAGGGAAAGCCACAGAAGAACAGAAGTGAAGGTGCAGGGAAATTTGTCACTATGAAATCAGTCCAAGAGCTACACGGTTGCAGTAAAGAATTCAGAGAGAGGCAATTTACAAGGAATCCAGAGATGATCGAGTTGCCCTTGTTAACAAGGCTCTGGAGGCTTCTGTACTTGACATGTTCACCTTGGCTGCCCAGAGCTTTGCAAATATCTGTCCTGTAATTGTGAAAGAATAACTTAATTAACAAGAAATTGTTCCTCAGTAACGTCAGATTGGAGAGTGGGACATGCAAATGCGGAAGGGAGGAGAGGGTGGACTTCAGGTTGAAAAAACATCAGATGAGAAAGATTTCCTCACTAGATTGATGCAGGTCCAATGCTTACAAAAACTTCCTGGAAATAGGGGATTTGGATGCCGCGCGGCAAGAGGGGGGAATGTGTGTTTTTAATGCTTGGAAGGGCAAAATCATCTATGGAAACCAGGGAAAGCCACAGAAGAACAGAGGTGAAGGTGCAGGGAAATTTGACACTGTGAAATCAGTCCTAGAGCTACATGGATGCAGTAAAAAATTCAGAGAGGGGCAATTTACAAGGAATCTAGAGATCATCTTGTTGCCCTTGTTGTTAACAAGGCTCTGTAGGCTTCTGTACTTGACCTGTTCACCTTGGCTGCCCAGAGCTTTGCAGCCAAAACTACTTATCTTCAGCAAGGTTGCTGTGTTATCTGCCTTCCACCCACATTTTCTGCTCAATCACAAATGTGCTAAC